GGCGTGCGGCAACCACATGTGACGACCCCGGGCTGGACTCCGCTTCGTCCACGGTGAAAGCCGATCCGGCAATCCACAGCGCGAAGTTGATGTATTTCCTCAGCGACCAGCACGGATCAGCTCCAGGCATGATGAAGCGATATCGTCCTCTTTTGGAAGGCCAAACAAAGTAGTTTCGTTTTCACAACTAAACACACAGCATCTCCACAACATGGCACCAGCGGCAAAAACAATACTACAGCGAGAATAAAAGTTACTCCTTCTTTCTTTGCCTGAACATTTGGGCGGTGTTATGCAAATCTTCTTGCTAAAAGCTTCATTGGCTAAAAAAATTAACTTTATACAAAAAAAAAAATCATATCAGCAGTAAATGTGAAAGTGTGACTGAGTACTAATCAGGTGAAATCACTATCATACTAATTAGATTGTAAGAGCAGACTGATTGCTACAAAAGGAGGGAAGAAGCGCTTCCAATCATTGTGTTCTTGTTAGCAATGGTTACCTCCAAAGAAACACTTGCAGCCATCATCGCTTTGCATCAAAATGGCCTCACATGCAAGGAAATTTCAGGATTTGGCCCAGAAGCTAATATCCAGCATGCCAGAGCGAATTGCAGAGGTTATGAATAACAAGGGTCTCTGTAAATATTGACTCATATTTTTTTTTTGCCAATAAAAGCTTATAAAAACTTATGTTTATCATTATTTTTCCAGTATACCACAGAAACATGTGGAAAAATAATCTACAAATACTGAAGTGGCAAACTTTGCAAAACACAATTTATGTCACTGCCAAAACTTTTGGCCATGACTGTGTGTGTGTATCTATATATATATATATATAAACTGGCGAAACGTAATTTTGGGAAAACAGGCTGTGGTAGAATAGAACAGAGTTCAATATTTAATTTGCATGGCGCAAACATTCATCTTGCGTCCTATCCTCTTTATCAGGCATCATTAGCTTATAGTGAACACTTAGTTCTCTTACATCACCTCTGTTTAACAACTCATACTGTTGTCGTAATGGTGTAATTTAGATAAAAGCTCTCTCTATGTGGTTTAAATATTTACCAGAGAAACCGTGAGGTGGAATGGAAGCCAGTGCCCCCAACCCCGTCTATCACATTCTCAGAAACTTAAAATTAAATTATTCTAATCAAAGTAGTATTAGATGAAAATGTCATATTTGTTTTATTGAAGACATTTTGAAGACATTAGCATTCACACATGTTCCCATTTTAAAAGATTTTCCTTTATATGTAAATTGCTCCCACCTCTCTCAGTGTTAACGTAAGGGCCATGATTGCCTCAATCCATCAAAACCAGCTGCAGAAAGCAACGACAGCTTAAAACAGTATTTACCAGTTACTAGGAACCAGGAGTGGACATGATTGCGACTACATAATCTTTAAATATCAATGCAAACCTTTACCTGCCAAACAGGTGTTTACTTGTCCTTTTGCCCTTTGCTTACTGTTTGCTCTCGGTCCTTTTATTTTTAACATTTAATAATATAATATCCAGAATTAACACACACACACACACACACACACACACATATATATATATATATATATATAGTAGATAAAATAATTTAAATAATCAGCTGAAATTTTACCATCATGCTACATATACATTTTGTCAGTTGGACCATTTTTCTCTTTTTATTTCTTTACTTTTGTTATTTTCTTCACTTATTTTCACCATTCTTCCAGTCATGTGGGGAGGGGGAGGATAAATGCTCTTTTGTTAGATTAAAACTCTAATCTGTTGCCTTTAAGGGTTGTAGCTGTATAAGGCAATGCAGCACTTCAATTCAATCAAGAATCTTAACACAACTGAGAAAGGTCAATAAATCTTAAGAGCTTATTTAGAGTTGTCTGACATCAAATTGCCATTTCTAGATAAACTGCTATTAGAGGAACTTGTAAGACATTTTTTTGGATTTGTTGATTTGTGAAACTATTTCACACTCTTAACTGTCATTTATGCAACCTGAGAGGGCTTTGATTTGTTTGTGTGTGTGTGTGTGTGTGTGTGTGTGTGTGTGTGTGTGTGTGTGTGTAAAAATATGCATGTGCTTGATATATTCTGTATATCACCATAGTATTTTGGCAAGTCAAATGCATTTGACAAAATGCAGTGCAGACTGCAGATGTACCATCTTTACATTGACTCTTTGCTGCAACGCTTACATTTACCTTAAAACAAGTCACATTAACCCTTAATAATCTACTCTCTTGTACGCTATCAAATGTTAAACTTGTTTATCTTCCACTTGTGCACCATGTTCACTAACTTGTTTCCTCTCAGCCAGGTCCAGGCCCACTATCATCCCCGAAGGACCCCAGGTCACAGTACCACTGAACAGTGACTTCAGCTTGCGTTGCCAGAGTGACAGTTCAGTGCGCTGGCTGCGAGAAGACCGTCCCACACGGATCCTTAAGGAACAAAGACAGGGTCAAGTGACAGTTCTTAAAGTGAACAAAGCAGGCCCACAACACATGGGCAAATATTCATGCCGTGAGGAGGCATCTGGTGAAAAGAGCTCCATCTATGTGTATGTAAAAGGTAAGTCAGCCTTTTGCATTCGTGAGTCAGGATTTTAAATGCGTGTAATAAATTGTCAGGGTGGAATGACATGTCTGTAGGGCAGTATTTAAAGAATTCTTGAACCCTCCTTTGTGTCTTAGTGTCTATCTTGTATGCATGTGAGTGCAGCTTCAGTATATTTTATATGTGTTAGGTTTGTACAAGCTTGGTAGCAACAGTATACTAGTAGTAGAGATACTAGATAGAAAGTATGTCTGCACCATTACATGTGCACTTTCTAACACTTTTCATGCTTTATGTTTATGTCTTTCTCTCTCTCTCCCTCTCTCTTTGAACACACTCTTCAGCATCTCTCATCTTCCTGTGTGGTTTCTTTTTTCTTTTTTTGCCAAAAAGACACTTTGGGTGCCAACAGATGCCCTAACTACCCACAATCAGCTCTCTGTATTCACTAGTCGCCTGCATGACCTTTATTTATACATCTGTGTTATGTGTTTTTGCAAGCATGTTCTTATAATCCCAAATAATAAACTCTTCAAATTGATCCTTGGCATTTTTGGCAGTTGACACTAATTTTACTAATGTGAACACTGCAGGTGTGGGTTATTTGTTTTTGTTTATTAGGTATGATGGAGGGTCATTTTTCACTTTCAGTCTTTTTGTGACACTCACTCTCTTTCTCTGAGCTGTAATGTCATGATCTAAGCCCCCTTGGTTGTGTTTCATTGGTTTTTGATTTAGCATTCCTCTCAGCAGATCCTGAAAATCCCTTCAGGAGGAACATCATGTTTGACTTTGTTGCGGGAGAAGGAGAAACAACCACGATCCCATGCTTGGCCACAGACCCACATATGACAGACTTGCGCCTGCAAAAATGTGACGGACAGTCCCTGCCCAACAGCCTACGATATTCATCCAGTATTGAGACAGGCATAACGCTGGAAGATGTCAGGAAGGACTTTGAGGGTTGTTACGTCTGCGTCGGGACTCTGGAAGGCAACACAGTTAAATCCGGACAATATCAACTCAATGTTCGCCTCGGTGAGAAAGAAAAGGAAAGACGTGAATATTAGGGCTGTCAATTGAAAAAAAAGCAACACAACTGTTTTCAATATGAATAATTATAATAAATATTTCTTGAGCAGCAAATCAGCATATTAGAATGATTTCTGAAGGATCATGTGACACTGAAGACTGGAGTAACGATCGCTAAAAATTCAGCTTTGCCATCACAGAAATAAATTACATTTTAAAATATATTAAAGAAATAGTTCACCCTAAAATGAAAATTACCCCATGATTTACTCACCCTCAAGCCATCCTAGGTGTATATGACTTTCTTCTTTCAGACGAATCCAATCAGAGTTATATTTAAAAATGTCCTGGCTCTTCCAAGCTTTATAATGGCAGTGAGTGGGTGTTATTTTTCAATAGTCCAAAAGAAGTCCAATAAAGCGCATCCATCCATTATAAAAAGTGCCCCACATGGCTCCGGGGGCAGAATAAATGCCTCCTGAAGCAAATCGATGCGTTTTTGTAAGATAAAATATCCATATTTTAAACTTTATAAACAGTAATCTCTAGCTTTCGCTAACTGTTGTACGTGCGTTCACAATAGAATGCTGTTCTGGTGGATGACGTAGGACGTAGGCATAACGTAACGTCAGGTGAGAGTATGCTAGTCCCGTGAGAACCAACGTTTGTTTACAGGTGCAAAGGAAGCAAAGTTTCCTTACTTTAGCAAAGGAAAACCAGTCTCCTCTTGGCTTATATCGGAATCCTCTGACATTTTTCTTTACAAATCTTCGTTTTGCACTTCTAATTCGTAAACAGTGTTTTGTTTTGCTCTCTCCGCTGCGCTGCGCCACATTCATCACTTCTCACCGAACCTCCTCCGGAACAGCGTTCTATTGTGAACACGTGTACAACAGTTAGCGAAAGCTATAGATTACTGTTTATAAAGTTCTAAATATGGATATTATTCTTACAACAACGCATTGATTCGCTATAGGAGGCCTTTATTCACCCCCTGGAGCCGCGTGGGACACTTCTTATGATGGATGGATGCGCTTTATTTGATGTCTTTTGGACTATTGAAAAATAACACCCATTCACTGCCATTATAAAGCTTGGAAGAGCCAGGACATTTTTTTATATAACTCCGATTGGATTCGTCTGAAAGAAGAAAGTCATATACACCTAGGATGGCTTGAGGGTGAATAGAAAACTTTTTTTAAATTGTAATAATATTTTATAATATTACTCTTTTTACTGTATTTTTGATCAAACAAATGCAGTCTTTGTGAGCATAAAACATTTCTTTCAAAACATTACGTAATTTTACCATCCCCAAATTTTTGAATGGTAGTGTGTAGACCTCTAAAGCCACTTTTAGTAATGTTTTTATTTTGAGGTATTTCAAATATTGATGTTTGCAATTCATTGAGATAAATCTGATTAAATAATCGCCATATCATGTAATTAATTTGATTAAAAAAAAGTTCATCAGTTGCCACCCCTAAATATAGCTAGAGGACACAGACAGACACTAGGCACATGCATGTCCATGTTACCCCACTGTAGCTTGCTCTCTTTCCCACACTTTCCCGCTGCGTTGATATAATGCATCATGCTTCTTTGCTTTTAGTTCCAGACGTGCCTCCTGTAATCACACTGGGTCAGCCTCCGAGAGTGCTGCTCATCCAGGGGGAAGAACTCTCCCTATCCTGCAACACCTCAAATGTCAACAGCGACATCACAGTCAGGTGGAAGGCTCCACAAGGAGTGGTAAGAACACTCTCACAACCTAACCAGCTCTCACCTGTTTACCTGAACACATCTGTGGTACTGCATGACACTCTTCCTGACCACAACACACACATATATATATACTGTACACTGCAAAAAATGGCTTATCTTACTTAGTATTTTTGTCTTGTTTCTAGTCAAAATATAAAAAAATTCTTAAATCAAGATACTTTTACTAGATAAGCCAAATGACTTAAGATATTTAGTCTTGTTTCCAGGGGAAACTAAGTTAAGCGCATTTTGCTTAAAACAAGTAAAATTATCTGCCAGTGGGGTAAGTAAAATACTCTTGCTTTAAGAATATTTTACTTACCCCACTGGCAGATAATTTTACTTGTTTTAAGCAAAATGCACTTAATTTAGTTTTTTTTCCCCCCGGAAACAAGACTAAATATCTTAAGTCATTTGGCTAATCTAGTAAAAGTATCTTGATTTAAGAATTTTTTTATATTTTGACTAGAAACAAGACAAAAATACTAAGTAAGATAAGCCATTTTTTGCAGTGTACATACTGCAGAATTTATTAAACACTGCAACAGTTTCAAGCGAGTAAAACCAATGTTTACAAAAGCAGACTATAGAGTGAGTGCACATCCCAGTTAACCTACTTAATGTGGTAATGTGTACCCATGAACAATTTAGTGTTTGTAGACTGAGAATGAGAATTTAAATGTTGTTTGAACTTCATATTATGCCCAGAGGCAAATTGGATCTTGTGTGGTTTAAGGTGCTCCTCAAATTCTATATGATCATATATTTATACAGCAGATGAATATGGTTGTCAGCAGGGTTGTGTGTCATTCAGATGTGAATTGAGAATGCCTTTTAAATTCGTTCAAGTTTTGAATTTTGAATTAAGCTTGAAATTGAGGAAGCAAACAGGATGCAGAATTGCAAAGTATAGTTGTATAATTAATTTAAAATATAATTAAAATAAACAAAAATTCATTTAAGAAAGAAAGAAAGAAACAGATAGCTAGAGAGTCAGATAGACATACAGATGGATAGAGATACAGATGGATGGATAGATAGACTGACAGACAGATGGAAAGAGATGTAAACAGACAGATAGAAAGACAGACAGATAGTCTAGAGAGTCAAACAGATAGTCTGATAGACAGATGGATTGCTAGATAGATGGCTAGACAGCTAGCTAGCTAGATAACTACTGTAGGTAGATGATAGATTCCCTTGAATGCATTACATTTGTTATATTTTATTGAACTTCCTGTCATTACAATTCAATTCTAGTTTAGTTTTACTCGCAATTCTTCTATTCTGAATTTATCTCAATCTTGATTGTCAGTTCTGTTTTAAAGCACTATATATGGTTGTGTTCAAACACAGTTCAGTTTTTAACGCGTGAACCGAATTTTGTATCTAAACTCACTCCCTTAAATTTTCAGCACTCACAACTGTATTATTGTCAAACGTGTGCTGTGAGAACACAACATACGTAAACAGCTCTTCGGTATTGTATCGAGACTCCACTGCCATCAGAGACTGTTATTTGAGAGATGAATGACATGCTTTGTTTTATATAAAGATAAAAACAGCCACACCTACACATACAGACAACCACAAGTACTTTACCCAAGACGGGGTCTATGCTTCATCTCTTCATAGTTGCCCAATCAGCTTTGTGTCTCTTTTCCTTTTGCATGTGCCAAGCAACCGTCAGTGCAGCAGTTCTCAAGTATCCTGACCGAGCCCATTTCTCACCTGAGGAACGCCACCCTGAATCTGGGGTCTGTGACCATGCAGGATGCAGGAAGTTACAACTGCGAGGCCAGGAACGAAAGAGGGACCAGTGCAAAGGCGGTCTGGGTCGAAATCTATGGTAGGTCTCTATTGTTTCAAAAACATTTTCAATTTAAAAAATGGTCTCAATGGCTGTGCCGTTTCAAAGAATAAATTGATGTTTTATGTGTTTGTGTGTGTAGAGAAAAGCTTCATTAACCTAACAAGTATGAATAACAGCACTAAGAGAGTGCGGGCCGGAGAAAGTCTGTCCCTGCGTGTGGTAATGGATGCTTACCCGAAACCTCATCCATTTTCCTGGAGCTACAGTGGTGTAAAACTTACCAACACTACTGATCATGTCATTACCAGTCACTCACATGGGAATAGGTATGATTTTGATTACAAACATTTCTTGTTTTTTTCTACGTAGTAATTGCTAGGAATGCACAATATTGTGGTATCATATTGGTTATTGGTTATATTAAAATATATATATATATTTTTTAATTTATTGGAAATATTTTTTGATGTTGTATTACTTGTGGTGCTCATTTACTGTTTTTATATTCAGATTACCTTTGCCGTCATGTAATGCTCACTTAAAGTTAATATTTAAAAACACTAATAATTTAAAAACATTGTTAAATGTAAACTTTAGCAAATCTCTCAATATCTATTTTTTTATACGTGATAAAAAAATAATGTTGTGAAGCCTAAATTCACTTGTGGCATTTGAATTATGGCATTTTGTTTTTAGTGTGGTCTTTTTTATAATTCTTTTAGAGAAAATACTATAGAATTTTCAGTTTTATCAGAATTTTAATATCAGTGCAAACTCGACATGTTATCCCATTTATTTACTGAACTGAAAGATACTGAAAGATAGGTTATTCATGTTTCTTTCTCTTCTTTCAACAGGTACACCAGCGAGCTGAAGCTAGTGCGTCTCAAGGTGTTGGAAAGTGGCGTTTACACCTTTTCATGCTCAAACCGAGACGCAACAGTTCATCAAATGTTCGAAGTCCATGTCATAAGTGAGTGAAAACATTTAATGCAAATGACAAATATTTGGCTTTTCCACTCGCCAGAAAAGAGTATAGAATCTATGTGATCTATGAGTTTTGTGTGTATTCTGGTTCAGAAGTGATCAGTCATATTTCTTGAGCATTGTGCTGGATAAAAGAACTTGATTGTCTATGTAAGACCCTGGCTTAAAGTCCACTAACAATAGGAGAGGCTGTGCAAAAAGAAATAAGATAAGAAAGCCCTGGGCTTCAAGACTTCAAATAAGACATTTGTCAAGTAATTTTCTTTTCTGTGAAATTTATTGATCACCAGTTATAAATAGATTTATCCCTCAAACAGGTTTTACTTTCTGCCCACATTTTAAATGGCAAAAATGTTCCAAATCTGGCTTTTTAATGCCACTTAAGCCATATTTTAAAATAATAACAGTATGCAAAGTAATCGCAAATAAGACAGCTGTACAAGCATCCATCCCACTAACCAAGATTGTAAAACTGACCCAGAACCAATCTTTGACTGTTAGGT